CACGCCATTTGGCAGGTATTGCTTTAAGAGGCTGCCCTTTGGGATAACGAGTGCACCAGAGATCTTTCAGCGAAAGATGTTGGAGACCTTAGAGGGGCTTGAAGGTGTGGAGGTCTTTATGGATGACATCCTGGTCTATGGAGCCACCATGGAACAACACGACACCCGACTTGAGAAGGTGCTGCAGCGCATTGAGCTAGCAGGATTGAAGCTCAACCGAGAGAAGTGCTCCTTCAGACAGAGCCAGCTTCGCTTCCTAGGGCACCTGATCGACCATTCTGGGGTCAGGCCAGACCCTGAGAAAGTGAGCGCCATTCTTCAGCTGCCGTCACCAGAAAATGTGCAAGAGCTTAAACGGATCCTAGGAATGGTTAATTACCTGGGCAGATATATTCCTGCTCTTGCCACAATATGCCAGCCACTGTACGAGTTGCTTAAAAGCAAAAACAGTTGGACCTGGGATCACCCACAGCAGGCAGCCTTCGAGAACATAAAGAGAGCGCTTACATCAGCACCTGTTCTCGCCTTCTATGATGTCAACAGACTCACAGCCGTATCTGCCGACGCCAGTAGCTACGGGCTTGGGGCTGTGCTGCTTCAGCTTCATGGCACAGAGTGGAAACCTGTTGCCTACTGCTCTAGACGCCTCACGGAGGCTGAAACACGCTACGCACAAATCGAAAAGGAGTGTTTGGCAAGTGTTTGGGCCTGCGAGAAGTTTGATAAGTATCTATGTGGCTTAGATCGCTTCAGGCTTGAGACCGACCATAGACCTTTGGTACCCCTGGTCAATAGCCAGGACCTTGACAATGTTCCATTGAGGTGTCAACGCCTCCTGATGAGGCTCATGAGGTACAAGCCGGAGGCCGTCTATGTCCCTGGCAAAACGCTTGTCATCGCCGACACGTTGTCACGGAGTCCACAGACTCGGGCTGAGGATGACACTAGCACTCACAGTGAAGTGGACTGCTACATAGCCACCGTGTTACAGGGCATTCCAGCGTCCCCAAGCCGAATGGAAAGCATTAAAGCAGCCACTGCAACGGACGTTGAACTACAGACCGTCATTACGTACATTCGCAGGGGTTGGCCTGCACACGGAGCTAGTGTGCCATTGAACATTAAAGCGTACATGAAAGTGAAAAACGAGCTATCAGAGACTGACGGCCTGGTTATACGAGGCTGCAGAATCGTCATTCCAAAGTCGCAGAGAACAGCCATTCTACACAAACTACATGAAGGGCACCAAGGCCTCACCAAGTGCAGGGATAGGGCTAATTCATCTGTGTGGTGGCCGGGGCTCTCCACTGAGTTAAAGAATGTAGTGCTGCAGTGCCACACATGTCTGGCCCAGAGGCCAACGCAGACAAAGGAGCCGCTCATCTCCACACCTTTGCCAGATCGTCCATGGCAAAGGATAGCCCTGGATCTCTGTGAACACAACCGGAATAATTATCTCGTTGTGTCGGATTACTACTCACGTTTTCTGGAAATACTTCACCTATCATCCACGACCAGCGGCCAAGTTGTTCAGAAACTGAAGTCGATCTTTGCTAGGTTTGAGATCCCTGACGTGGTGGTGAGTGACAATGGCCCTCAGTTTTCCAGCTCTGAGTTCCAAGCCTTCGCGAGAGAGATGGATTTCGCCCACGTAACGTCTAGTCCCCACCACCCACAGGGAAATGGTCACGCGGAGAGGGCAGTACAGACTGCAAAGAAAATCCTCCGGCATGACGACCCACTGATAGCGCTAATGTGCTTTAGGTCTACTCCCTGTGCCACTACAGGCTTCAGCCCAGCGGAACTTCTTATGGGGAGGAGGATCAGGACAACCCTGCCTACCTTGGAGAAGAATCTTCAACCTAAATGGCCAAACAAAAGAGAAGTTAGACGAAGGGATACTGGTCAGAAGGCCGAGCAGGCGTTCTACTTCGACCGCCGCCATGGTGCTAAGCCCCTACCTCCACTTCATCCAGGGGATGCTGTCCTAACTAAGCTGGACCAGGAGAAGGCTTGGGCAACACCGGCCATCATCTCCAAGGAGAGCGTCACTCCGAGGTCCTATCTCGTTGCCACACCCCAAGGTGCGTTGCTGCGACGGAACCGCCGCCATCTCCGCCTCGAACCGTCTCCACGGGCTATGCCACAACCCCTTCCAACACCCACTGTGGACGCTGAGGAGCCGCCACCTCAGTGCGCTGGTGCGTCCACTCCAGAGACCCCACATTTGGCCCTAGTCTTGCCCAACGCTCGCACCCACTCACGCTGACGTACCGACTCTGCTACGCACGAGGTGCGGCCGGGTACGCAAGCCAGTCAGCAGGCTGGATCTATAGACATTGGGGTGATGGGACAGAAGGAAGGACTGGGGAGTGGGAATGTTGTATTGTTGCTGTTTTGCACTTATGTTTTCAGCTGCAACCAATACTGCTGTTACCTGGTTGAGTTAATTACCTTAACGGTTTGCCATGTTTCATGGGTCCTGTTTTGTGGACACTGCCCTTCACGCTGACAGTACGCCATTTGTGCTCGACCCTAAGAGAACCGCCCAGAGGCTATTATAGTGTCGCATGTTATCATTGTGTCATTGCTGTTCTATTTGGGGTTTGTTATTGGACATAACATGAAAAGGGGGGAGATGTCATGTACTGGGCTTTACGGCTTTACGCCACTAGGACCTGCTTTGCGGCAGGGGGCTGTCTATATCCAGTTCTATGTCTTGGCTGTCACACACGTTGTTGTGCTGTTATAACCCATGCTGGATACACGTTCAATAAAGCAGCGCTACAAGAAGCTACCGAGTGGTCATTCTACACATGTGATTGGTCAATGTCATGTAAATCACAAATTTAACTATCCAATCAGAGAACAGATGGGTTTGGCTGTCGGAGGGGGCTTTTTTGAACTGCAGGTCCTTGAAGGGTAATACAGTTTGAAGCTGGAGGATCTCTATATAACTATCCGATAGAAGCTAGGTCACCTAACTTACAGTACAGTTGTTGAAAGGATAAAGTTGTGGTATATCAGTGGTTAGAAATACCATTATTACTTTAGGATTAGTTTAACACAAAGTCAGGGCTGACCCAGGACCATGGCTGTGAGTCCCAGTACGCAGCATAAAGGTCCTTTCACATCGGACGCAGGATGTGCTGCTAATGCTAACTGCTAACTAAAAGCCAAAGATCCAGAATTTGTCGCGCTGGCAGCTGAGCTCTGTGGGTTTTTGCAGTAGCTCTACCTGTACTAGATGCACCTGCTTCTTGCCGTTTCTATCACTGACTTTATGTCCTCTACAAGAATTTCTGTTTTTGTTGCTGGTTCTTTAAATGTTCAATAAAAACATGTATCGCTAATTCATAACGAAGAAAGCTTTGTAACTATCCCCACTAGTGAAGACTGTGTCATTTCCACAACACTGCCCCCCCCTCCCGAGGTCCGCAGCGCTGTTGAAAAGGCTCTGGAGGTCCCTGTATTAAGTACGTAAACCTGTGGAAACAAAAATCACCAAACTCGAACCACCACAGACTGTTTTCCTTCCTGGTGATGAAGGAAAATGCTGGGCTGGCATGTAAAAGGGCATTTATTCCCTTCAAGGACCTGAAGCTCCATAAAGCACCCCTCCGACAGCCAAACCCATCTGTGCTCTGATTGGATAGTTAAATTTGTGATTGACATGACATTGACCAATCACATGAAAGGAAGAAAAATAGGGTCAAAATTCGTACTTGTAACTTGAAACTTGAGTGCAGAGTTTCACACTTATTTTTTGGCCACACACAAATCTTTTTTACGCACACACAAATTCTGTTTACACATACAAATCTTTTTTAGGCACACACAAATTCTTTTTACACATACAAATCCTGATTTACAAGTACAAAATATTTATGACCACAATTTGAACCCATACAGATGCAGTAAAGCTGTAGGAGCCAACAGCTGTGTGGTAGCTAACTAAACCGATTCTCGTGTGTTTTTTGGTGCATTTTTATTATAGTTAGATTCCTCTTCATTTATCTTTAGTAAAAGCCTGCTGCAGTTTTGATGATGGAAAGTCTTGCATGTTATTTCCTGTTAGTTACCAGTAACTAGCAGGCATTTGAATCTATGTTATATGGATGCTTTGCTAATGTTAATTGATGGTAAAAGCCATAAAGCTAAAATCAGGACTTTGGAATGCAGGTCCTTCTTCTAACATACACTATGGGATATACACATAACACAGAGACATTTGAGAGGAATAGATTGAATAAAGCAGTGTAATTGCACACTGCAAAACAATTTCTAAAATTCACTTTTTTACTTTTGGCATTATTCTGTAACAGACAACTCAAATTCCAACTTACTATTATTTCTCTTAGAATTTCTTAATGATTACGACTATTCTTTTAATGAGATATTAATGAGATCCCAGCAATCAGTTACTCGGCAAGCCCATCTAGTCTGTGTGTGTGTGTGTGTGTCAGCTGCCATGTGCTCAGTTGGATCAATTCTCTTCTACAACCACTGACCTGGAAAAAGCTGAAAAAGCTTTGCCTGCTCTGCTATCAATAGACAGTCTAATTAAGACCAGCACTGTCTGCTCAAATAGTAAAGACACTGGCTAGGATTTTATGAAAATTCCCTGTCAGTAAACCTAAACCTGGAGCTTCTGCAGATTAACTGTGACTCTCAGTGTATTTGACTGTGGCCTCAGACTATGGATGCCCTTGCCTGTGATAGCAGGGAGTTCGCCTGGCACTGAAGGAGGCCATCTGTTCAGCCTAGAGTGAAATGTATTGGATCGCTGTGAGGTTGCTTACACAATAGTGAGACAGGATTGGGTTAGAACTCTTTAAAATTGGAGCTATCCATTGGACCATGGATCATCTGCCATTTAAAACAATTAGAGAGAGGACACATCTGTGTAGACTGGACTTAAGCCGATGGATGGGACAGGCAGCAAAGCCTGCTCCCTCTCTCAGAGAGGCACAGCAAATAAGGGCCAGCATTTCTCAAAGTCATGGGCCCCCTTGAGTCCGGCTACCCCCATGTTCAATGGTGATCAAGTCTGGCTGGAGGAGCTGATAGACCCTGCTTCTAACCAGTCCTCTCCCAGTCAGCCATCTAGCCCCAGCGATCCAAGCAGCAGTCCAGGAGGCAGCAGGAGTAGCAGTGACGGCACTGACAGCCTGCACAGCTGGAACTCTGGGGTGACCTGCATCCTGCACAAGTCTATCAAGAAGCAGAGCCAGGAAGCTTTTCAGACTCGACTCAGAGGAGACAGAGAGTCTGAAAAGCTTGGACCAGTTCCTTCTAGCAGGCCTCATGGCAGAGGACATCCACAGGCAGAGCAGGGAGGAGACAGCCACAGCAGAAATCTGCATCAAGGGAGGGGCTCTGTACTTTCACACACCAGCTCTAAAAGCGGCAAACCACAGTGTGTACTGGAGGAAAAGATTGAAGCCAAACTGAAGTTTTCCCAGTTCCTGGATGAGGTGACATCTAATGTGCTTGACCCAAACAGCCTGCAGGCATTTGGAAAACCAGCATCTCCCTCTGGCTTCACCAATACAAATGCTGATCAGCCTCAAGCAGAGATCCACGTGGTGAGCCCCAGGCTACCCTGCTCAATGGCCCAGCAGCAAGGCCCTTTAGCCGAGCAGAAGACTCCAGAAGAGCGGACTTCTCCTGACCTGGTAGAAAAAAAGTATCTGGAGACGGACATCGACACTGTAAGGAAGGGCGATGAGCTGCATGACCTGGAGATAAAAGCAGACACACCAGAACAAATAGATGAGAAATATGTGATTCCACCTCCTCCAGAGTTCAGTCAAGGATTTAAGATGAAGAGTCACTTTCCTGAGTTTCACTATGACTTCCCCAGATACCCCTACAGATCTATCTCTCTGCCCAGGGGCATCAACATGGTGAGTGATGAAAGTCTTCCCAGTCTTTAATCAAGGCCAGGCCTCTGAACATATGTTGTGATTGGAACGGAAATTGTTCCTCTCAGTTTTTGAAGAGACGTCTGAGTAAATCAAGCCTTTGTATGATTTGAGTGAGCCATTCCTGATTTTTCTGCTCTATTATTAAGAGCGTAAAGAGCTCAAGTAAGCACGGGCATGTCACAGAGTTACAATGTCTTTGTCTAGTGCAGTCTGTGGAGTTTTGTTTGAATAATCCAAGAAGCAGTTGCATATAAAATGAATGCTATAAAAATAAATAAAACAATAAATTATTAAAGCAAGAGTTATAGGGAGAAAATTTAAAAAGAAACTTTTATAGCCCCACTACAGAACTTTGTTATCGCTATCTGAACCAGAAAAACATTCATATACTTGACATTCCTGCCTTTATCCCATTTTACAGTCTGTATGTTATATAGAGGCCTACTTGCATACACATATAAGACAAAACGAAAGATACAAAACATAATAGTCATTCCAGCATTTTGCCCACTTGAGGGCAGTAGAAATGAACTGCAAACACCACACAGACACCTTAAATGTAATTGAGTTTCTGACCTCCAACCTATGCGCTAATTTTAGCTCTGATTTGCTCTCCACCATCTGTTAGTTATTCAGTGTGTTGATTTGACTCATATGCAGTTGTTTTTCAGGCTTTTTATTATTTTGCTGAAAAGAACACTGGGATAAAAGCAAAACATTTAAAGTTATGACCACTGAAACGCCTCTAGGTCTAGAAGAAGTTCGAGCTTTGGGGCGATGAGTCTCTCAGAGTCTTACACAGAGTCATTCAGTTTACTGCTAATTATAAAAATATGGCTTGCAATTGACTTGGGTTCGCCCAAGTCAAGCTCTTTAAAGTTGTCACCTCACTGGTGATTATTGAACCTAGAATATGTAGTCAGAGAGCAGACAAAGCATGTCATCCTGGTGATGACATTATGAGTGTTCCATGCAAGTTCTGCTGTGCTAAAGCTTCCAATTAATAGTAAATCATTTGGAGCAAGAATGAGCTGTGGGTGTACGATTTCTCCTGCTGACCCACATAGACATCCTCAGCTGATTCAATAGACTGGGTATACTGATGTGTCTGTAAGTTTGCACAGGAGCGCTGCTTCATGCTGACCAATAAGCAGACTTTTATGGGACTCCTCATTAGCATTCTACCCATTAGCAACTCCTCCACACAAACAATTTGAACTGAACAATGCTGTCATTTACTGACTCAGCCCACTCGCATTTATTTTTTGACATCCATCATTTACTCAGTTTGAAACATAACCTTGCTAAAATGGCTGTGAAAGCAGCGAACCTTGTTGCACAACTGTTTCCTTCTCGAGTAGCAACCAGTGTTTCCACTGGCTTACACCACTAGAGTGCATTACACGGGAGGACAAGCCTGAGGGCTCAATCAGCAATTACTACAACCAGCGAGGGTATTTTTGCAGTCTCAGCATGACATCCATGTCAGTGGTGGATGATGAGGATGATGAAGCACTTGGCTGAGGTTACCTAGTTGCTAAATGTGCACCGCTTTGCTGACTAGAAAGCGTGCAAGCTTATTGTTTTACATCTCCGGGTTTGGGGTCTGTTTTTTTTAGCATTTCTCACCCCCCAAAAAACAAAACATACTTGACAGATCTTCAAACTCTGTGTCGCTCCCATTTAATAATAAAGGAGAAGATCACATTGCCTTAATTTATTGTCTGATTAAAATTCAGCCTTTGCCGTCACCTTAGCAACTGCTTGAAAAAAGGTGGGTGGTGTGTGGCGGCTGAGAGGCAGGCATGTGAGCCTGTTGGCGTTCATCTCAGTGTGAGTGTCTGTGTGTCGCTGCAAAGTTTCATCTCCTCACACAAGTCCTTGTACTTGTAATGAAACATTCTTTGCACTTGACCTTCTGCTGTGCACACACACACACACACACACACACTGAACACGCATTCCCCCCACCCCCCGCTTTAAGGTGTGTTTTGTTGGTAATCTGACTCAAATAATCTCTTCGCAACGACTGCTTCCTTCATTAATTACAGGAGATAAATATGGATGAACGTCTCCCCTAAGTGCAGATGGTAAAATCTGCTTTCTAGCATTCGTCAAATTATGAAACATGATAACATAACAGCGTGGATACCACCCTCGATCGGGCCTAAATTTGAACGGAGATGGGGGAATATTCTCAAATCGATGCATAATTCATCGCTTTCTGAGAAAAAGAAAAATGGAAAAAAAGCAGCCGATTCATATAAAACCTATTCTCCTTAACAGCCAAGGACTTGAGATGTAAGATTCAACAGATTGAACCACCTGTTCTCCCCACTCTCCACCCCCCCCCCCCCCCAACCTCCCCCTTGTTTCCCCTTCTTTCTATGTCTCTCTCCACATCCTCCTCCCTCTCTTTCCCTCTGTGCTCCTTCTCTCTGATTCAGCACCTCGACAGAGATACTGAGTCGCTGCCAGTATCCCTCATGGGGGGGCTTGCCATGTATCTGCAGTCTGGCTGCAATGGAGGTTTTCACTCTCCCTCCCTCCCTTTCTTCCCCCTTTCCTTTGCCTCGCTTTCTCACTCTCTCCCCTCGCACTCCCGGTATGGTACGATTGTTCTCTTCTCACCTCAAGTGAGCGCAGATGTACACATCCGGCCGCAGTCTGATGAGCGTTGCATGGGATTTCTCACTAGTAAGGGAAAAAGGGAAGAGGAGCAGATGAGGGAGCACGGATGTGAGTGGGGGGGAGTGTGGGGACATAAACAAACACATAGGGAAACACAGAGTGTGCTTGCTGAATATGTATGTTTCTTTTCTCGTTCTTTCTTTTTCTTTTCTTTTTTTTGTGGAGGGTGTTTGTGCTGCAACGGTGCTCCACTTGGCAGCTTCTGGGCCAGTTTGATGGGTCCGCTCCACTAACATGCTGTCATTTCCTTTAGATGCCTGACGAAGTGATGAACAACATAGACACCATCAGGTAAGCTTCACCCTCTCCCTCTCTCACTCTCCCTCCTTTTCTGCACATATCTTTCAGCACTCCATCATCACGCCCCCACGTTCTCCCTGTCTTCTTCCTTTAAGCTCCTTCCCTCCCACTCTTCCTGTCTCTCTCTCTCTCTGTCTTTCTACTCTTGCACAGTCTCTCCCTCACTCCCTCTTGTCTTTCCTCCTGGCTCAGCTGCTGCCGCTGCTGCTGCTACTGCTGGAGTGGCGTGGTGCTAGTGGCAGCGACAGTTTTAGTGGTGGAGGAGGAGGTGGTGGGGTGGGTGCATGTGTTGGGGGTTTTCTCCGAGCTTTAAGGGAAAGCTGGGTAAACCAATCCAGATAGCATATAGAGAGGGGGTTTTCTCCATCCCCGGCGAGGCTCCGGCAGCAGGATTTTTATCTCTCGGTCTTCAGGATGAAGCTCTGCGCGAGCGGAAGGTACTGCTTCACTGTTTGCATCTTTGATTTGGATTACAAAGCTGCTTTTGGTTGCGTGTGAATATGTGTGTTTATGTGCTCATCTGTACGTGATGTGGCTGCACTTGCCGTGCTCTCTGTTTACTGATGCAGCGCTGTTAGGAATGATGCCTCTTCTCTGATACTTTGTCAAAGATAAAAGGGTGTATTTTGCAGAAGAAGGCTGACACGGTTCCATGCGGGGAACCTCTTGGCTGGAAATCCGCTGCAGTGACTATGGCGTTACTGTAAAAGCTTTTTTCCAAACAGATCAATCAGGAGTTTTTTTTAATTTATTTTTTTTATTTGAAATAATCTTGAATCTTTTCAGGTTCCCAAAATGTCCATCCACGACTGTTACACATTGGTTTCTGTGTGATTTTTGGACTGTCACCTGTCGGAATGCACCTGTAACACTGATTAATTACTCTGCATGATAACGCTGTTTTTCCACCACGAATACTTAAGCAAGAGCAGCTCTGATCTGTATGTTTTTCAACATGACAGTCAAAAAAACACAAACGTGAGCGCGTGCTGGTGTAGACGGATTTTAATGAGCTCATTACAAAATTGCAGGTGCTCGCCCACTTTTCTGATTTAAGTATTTCAGAGAAATAGAGCAGCAGCGGAAACATGACGAGATGCAGGGGCCACCCCCCCTCCCTCTACCTCCCACTCTCTGTTTTGCACCTCACTGGCCTACAGTAGACATGTTTTAATTAATACCAGTACTAATGAACCATTATTAATCCGGCTCAGATGAAAACAGATCCCAAGCTTTTCCTTTTGTGTTAGATTACCGATGGTGTTATTACGATTTCAGGAAGATTACAGTTTAAAAGCCATTTAACCAGTCGACGAGGGGTAATTAATCTTGACGGGGTGTTTCTTTAATAGGAGGCATCAATTGTCCTCACCTCTGTGTCACAGCTTTAATTGAATTATAGCAGCTGTGCCGAAATAAGAGGGGGGTAGCCCCGTGTCTATTCTGCTCGCTTTTTGCATAGGAAACCAGGTCACCTGTAGCCTATAAGCAAGCTGTGATGGGGTTAAAGAGAAATCAGGACCCACCTGAGAGTCTGACCCTACCTCTTCATCCCCCCCACCCCACCATATCTGCGAGATGCCTTCGAGTCTAAATGATGAAATGTCCTGAAATCTCTCACACTCCGTTGCTCCTGCTCTCTCGCTCACTCTCTCTTCCTCTTTCGCAATCCCTGTCCCTCTCTTGTCCGGGCTCATGTGTCAGGGCCCTGGAGATGGAGATGTAAATTTTGCATAGCGACACATTGGAGCTCCAACGCAGAGGAGACCTCGGGTGGATTAAACAGATTTAAAGTTTCAAGGAGTTTAAAAAAAATCGTTGTCAGAATACTCTAGCGGATGAATAACAGTGTGAAGGGTTTTATTTTAAATATAAGATTGATACCGCTTTTTAAAAAGCATGATTGACAGCCAAAGATTGAGCAAAATTATTATGCCGCTGTCTCGGTGAGCGGTGATGGAAGTGACGTCCTTGAGAGGCAGTAAAACAAAAGTCTGGGTTAGTTTTTAGATTTTTAGGATGATTGATGACATTTTTTTTCTTCCATCAAACCCACTGCGACTGGATATAATTTCAGAATAATATATGCACATTAAGAACCCTCATTATACAGGAAGAGAAGGCGATTAAAAGGTGCTTCATACTGTTAAGTTTCAGAATGTATCCTGCACTTTATATCTTGGTCTTTTTAAGCCTGTTTTTAAGTAGATCTTTTTAGATATATACAGATTAAAGAAAGAACAACATAAAGTGTCATGAAGAGGCCAGATATGAGCTTAAATGCTCACTGGGATATGAGCTATAAATAGGCACTCACTCATTTGATGTGTTAATGATGGTGGTGGAGAGAGTTATCCAACACGTGACCTGCCAGGTGTTCACTTGGCTTGAACTCTGGTGACTTTGAAGACCACAGATCTTTTTCTTTTAGTCATTAAGTCATTCAGTGACCCTTTGTGCCCTAAAGGGAGGGATCTGTATTCATTATGTTTCTGCACTTTTGTTTTTTGTTTTCTTTTAAAAAAGCTCAGTTAGTCCGCGATAATGTCTCGGCCTCGATCTGAAGGTAAACCGAATCTTCCTACTCCTCTGAAGCTCACTAATTAACATGTCCTGTCTTCTTCATTTAATCTGCACAAAAGCAGCTTGTAGTTTTTATAGCTTGGTTATTCCACAGCTCAAATGAACACGATACATGTCAATTATTGAGTTTCATTCGTGCTGCTTTGTGGACTTTGTTCCTTGCGACAGAGCCACGCTGCCTGTTTCCTAATCCAGACTGGCTGCCAGTGGTATGAGAGTGATATCAGTTTTCTCATCTAATTCTTGGCAAGAACACAAATAAAAGGCTCTCCTGAAGTCTTCCAGTGCCGTTTAATTTGAACTTAAATTTGCCAACTGGAAGGTTTTTCTCTGCTCGTTCGTGTGGTAGTCGCTGTTTGTGCTGTGTTTCAGTTATTATTGTTTCTATTTGATGCTAATAATACATATAGAACACTGGGCAGCTGCTCTATTATAAATGAGTCAAACGGCCATGTTTATGTTATAGCAAAGGCACCTGTCAGCGTCTGGGATGTTGTCGCAGGTTAGTGAACAGTTTTCAAAGTCAACATGGTGGATAAATGGTGCCAAAATGGGGCAAGGTGGACACCAGAGTGACTCCGACAAGGGCAAGATTGTTTGCGTTGAAACATTTTCAGAACAGTGATGGCAGGTTGTGGGAGTCAGAGGATTGACAAAAAGATCTGCTGCTTGTGATCATATTCATACGTGTATTCATAGTTTTCACGCAATATTACATCGCTATAGGAACGCCTACCTAGAGGACAAACAGGGGCTTTCCCCGTTTGTTCTGCCAGCTGTTAACTTGGATGCACTTGGAAGTCCCTCAGTCCAGTTTCTTTGGCCATTTTGTACCAATCCATCCTTTTCCATAGCAACTCTGGTTTCTTTTAAACTGGTTTATTTCATAGAGATGTCGCCCGTTAATGGACATTAGTCTCAAAATACTGCATGAGACAGAAACATTACAGATTTGAGCAAAATGGCTAGTTTATATTTTTAGTCCCAAGGTAGATAACAAAAAATATAGCCTACTATATGCAAGACATCAATGGCATTCAGAGTGAGTCATTTAAACTCACAATTATGAGACAAACCTCAAGCTGTTCAAAAATATTACTACTAATACCCATAAACTGGATCAGCATGAGATGGATACAATCTCTTGTCCATATAGGAGCAACATCTTTTAATCGTTGAATTTAGGTTTTCAGTCTCATGTTTATAAAATCAACCATGTGGTCACGTAGTCTGCCTTTACAGCCATTTGTGAATGAATGGGTTTAATTTGTGAAAGAGCTCACTGAATTCAAGCGTAGTACTGTAGTAGGATGCCACCACCATTGTGGCATATTCCATGATCAACTCTCAGTTGATCTACTGTTAATGCAAAGTTGAACCACAAAGCAGTAGACCACGATCATTATCAAACTCCTTAGGTAGCTCCTTTAGGTTTATTGTATATGTGCACTTTTTTCCATATAGTGTTCCTCCTTCCCCCTCCAAACAGCAACATTATTGACCCATCCAGCTCCAAAATAAACAGAACTGTCTGTACTTTTGTGCAATTCCATCCTGTTGGCAGTCTGAGGAATTCTCCACAATAAACACGTGTAAAATGCTGCCAAAATGAAGCTCTGGCTGGGACCTCACTGTGGTGGGTGCTGTTTATCGATTGCAGATACATAAAACTTGCAGTATATTTACATAACTTTGTTTTTCTCCTTCCGAGAAATGACTATTTGTGGCTTGAAACAGCTGGAAAATTAACAGACTTTTGTTGCAATTCTATGGAGTGTCCCCTAAGTCAGAATGATGAGAACTACGAAGACCTCAGGGCACCTTCAGATTCCCTGAGCTGTTCTGAAAGGGGAGTTTTGGCTGATCATTATAGATAGAGAGATGTTAGAGCAACAGAGAGGACGTGTTTGAAAGCGGCGTGGGAGAGAGGCTGCTCTGAAGAGGCGAGAACTTAGTTTTGACCTGCTGAAGTGGACAGTGTTGCTCTGACAGACTGATGCTCTCCACTGTCCTCTGTGGTCTGACCAGTCAGCCTCTCTCTCCCACACTGTCTGTAGGTCTCTCTATCCTGAAGCTCTGAGAGCTCCCCCAGGGGCCATTAAGCCTATCTTATTATCTTAACCCCATTATTTCTCCTCCCCTTTGCCTTCTTCAGCACCAGCGGTCAGGTTGTGCTGGTCCAGATTTATTCCTCATTGTGATGAAGCCTGCCTAATATGACAGCGGCTATAACTCAATTTTTTTGTAATTTGACTTGAATTGGACATTTACATAGTAATCAGCATTGTAGGTCAGTTTGTGGTCAATGGAAGTGACACCATTTTAATGAATTTTAAAGTGAGAGTTAGATTTTTTCTGAACAGAAGCCACTGTGAAAGCCAATGACGAAGAATGGTAATGCTAAAATA